CTAACCATTGTCACCCCAATAAATTTAACAAAATAAATAAATAAATAAATAAAATAGGAAGTCATCAGCTGTTTTTAATTGGCGAGGTACAGCCAATACACAATTCATTGTTTAAACCCCTGGATAGTTAGAAAGTGACTAGAATTACAGAGGGTCTTAGTCTTTACATGGTACAAAGTAAACAGCAAATAATTGAAGTAACTCTTTGGAATTCAATAGGGGCAAAGCCTGAGGCCTGGAGAAGCTGAATGAGGGAACTTCCATTAAAGATCATCAGGCTTGATAAAGTTCCTCATTCCTTTATCAAGCTTTTCCACCATGAGATGGTTGAGGTCAGCATAGCCCATTCTTCTTGTTCATGTAAAAGTGGTCTTAGAAATCTCTAAATGTCTAAGTATAGACATTCAAGCTGAAAACTCCAGAACTCCCAATTGGGATAATGCTTAGAATAGTTCTATTTTAAATGTCCATCAAACTACATGTCTATTTTCTTTCAACTGGATGAGATTACTCTTAACACCAGTTTATGCAGACAATCCAGCCATAAATCACAAAATCCTATGAGTGTTCTTACTTGCTAGAGTCTATGCAAATGGCCTGAAAATATCTTTTTTGCCCCCCCACCCCCCATCCTCAAATACCCATCTTATCCTTTGGACACAGAAATCTACCCTTCCCCTGGAAGCTGGCTTGGGAGTCCATGTTGTAAACTAAAGATCGTCTGAAATGGTACTCTGATGCACACAACCATCATGTGTGCCAATACTAAAACTACCTCTGGGTTCCCCCAATCTGAACCACAGTTGGGAAACCCACTATAACAGCAGTGGGCTTAAGAGTAGAATCCAAATGTCCCCACGTCCTCATCTTTCCAAGTCCCTCTTGCTTACACCATCAAGTAAGTAAATCACATCCCTTTCCTTTGACTCTTCTTTAATTGTACAGGATAAGCAGAGTGCCTACATTCCCCAGGCTGCTGCTGGTCCCTTCTGCCCGTGATTGGTACCCTGAGCTTCTCTCTCCAGCACTCCATACACAAATGGCAACCAGTGCCTTCACTCCCCAAAGCATGGCTGACACCAGATTGTTGTATGTAACAAACTTTCCTGAGGATGACTAAGAGAATGATTAGGTTGTGAAGAAAAATTTCGAATTAGATATTTGATCTCACTGCTCCTTAAATCTATCTGCCTGTAGCCCCCCACATTGGGTACCGTTGTGTGTGGTTCTGGCTTACTCGTGTAACCGGGTGTCAGCCCCCTAATCCATGGGGGTTCTCATTGACTCAGCTATTGGCCAGTATCCAGCACCTAGGCATTCTTTCTCCATAGGCTCTAACCAAGAGAGGCAAAACTACTTAACCTCTTCTCCCAGAGAGATCACCTGCCCACAAGAAAGATAGCCTTTTGAATTTTAACACAGAGCAGTTTAGTTCCTTTGTTCCAAAGTCTCCCTTCTGAATAGGATTGGGGGAGAACAACAAGGTTCAAGGAGATTTCCTCCAAAATTGAAATGCAGTCTTTCCTCAGGATGTACTGCCACTATATCTGGAAAAAGAGGCTCAGATATTAAATAACCTGGTATTTGTACCCACTATAAGTGCAAAGCAATTGGCTAGGACTACACAGCCCAAAGTAAATGGCAATTATCTAGAGGCTCAGAGCTAGGCCCAGGCAAGCGAAGCCACTGTGACTGATCACAAGCGAGGAGGCTCGGACGAGCTATGCTGAAGCAGCCTGGAACAATAGGAGGGAGCGAGGGAGGCAGGCAGCACATCCTAGAAACCAGGCAGAGGACCAAGAACCAGAGATCTGTATCTATGGAAAATGCAATTCAGGAACAAAGAAGGAAAAAGCTGGGAGAAGTGTGATTGACTCCCAATGCCCTTCTGTTCCTCATCTCAAGCTACCAGGAACTTCTGGTTGGCACATTTGTCCCCAGACAACGGCGACCAGCAAGAATGAAGTGGAAGGGGATACTGAAAGCGTGCTTTAAATACTGTACATGTCACAAATTGGAAGTAACGAAATGGTCACGGGGATGTAAAGTACAGCATAGGGAATACAGTCAATAATATTGTAATAACTATGTATGGTGCCAGGTGGGTACCACACTTATTGGGGGGAATCACTTCATAAGTTATATAAATGTCTAACTACTATGCTGTACACCTGAAGCTAATATAATATTGATCAACTACAATTGAAAAAAAATTAATTTTAAAAATAAATTTGTTAAAATACTGTACATGTCATATTTTACTTAACCAATCCACCATTCGCGTACATTTTATTGTTTCCAGCCTTTAATCTTATAAGCAAGGCTATACATTTTATTTTTTGGTTTTTGCTAAATTTTTCCATGCATCATGTTGATTTCCTTAGGATGAATTTTTGGAAGTGTGGTACCTAGATAAAAGCGTGAGGATATTTTTCTAATTTTGGCATATGGTATCTAGGCACAAGATATAATCCTAGTTTTGTTGTCCATGTACTTTTCTGATGCCTGTGAGAAGTCATGTGCTCACCACTACTGTACTTCCTTAGACATATTTAATTCTTCATCTACTGGTGAGTTCAATAGCTCATTACAGAGGAAGTTGAAGTAAGTGTAGTTGGGAGGTGTTGAAATGGTGGAAATTTTAGGGTTGAAACAAAGCGAAAGAGACTGGGTTGGTGAGGAATAAGGGGTATAAAGGCAGTTACTCAGCCAATTAATCACTCTTCAGATTCACGCCTGAGACAAACCTCCTCTTTAGACCATGAAGCTCAAGGTATTCTTATGTTTTATGTGGCTTATTTAAGTTGATTTTCTAGCTTGCCTTTTCCTTTCTCAATTTCCTCAGTTGCTTCCTCCTTTGAAGAGCTACCTGCTTTACTTCAAAAATGGCATTTTACCATTTCTCAGAGCCTCTGAGCTATCTAATTAATGGCATCTTTTTTTTAAAATCAGTGTTTTACCAATAATAGATATTATTCTGTTTTGTATAAAATTAGGAAAAAAATGAATCATTACAAGTCCATTGAATTTGAACATCCTAGTTTTGTATATGTTCACTAGGGCATTGCCAGGTTGGATTTCTATCTGTTTACTGTCCAGAGTCCCCTGGAGAAGATAAGGTTTTTGCGGCAGGAACGATAGCACTTCGGTTTGGTATTCTAGAGAGCTTAGCACAGTGCCAGGCACATAGCAACAACTCATGAAATATTTACTAAACGACTTCATACTTTGCCTTAATTTATATATCAATCATAGTATTTTACTAAAAAGAGAAGCAAATGCCAGGAGGAAGTAAGAAGACCAAAATAATCTTTTAGGAATGATGGGCACAAGTCTACAGACAGCGGGCAGCTGCATGTTTACTTTCCCATGGGCCCTTCCTCAAGGCCCAGAAAGAGCCCGTTTGTTCTTTGGCACATAGGGTGGTGTTCAGGACTTGTCGGGGGACCTCCATATTTTCCCCACACCTTTTATGAAAGCCTTACTTTCGTTAAGTCACTAACTCCACTGGGTCGTATGGCTGGACACCATGATCACCTGCCAAGCTCCATGTTGGAACCCTGCCAACACATGCTCCCCAGGCCTACGTGTCTCCCCAGATTAGATCTAACACTAAAAAGAGGAACAACCGATCTCCAAATGCCCTCACCTGTGGGAACTGAGGGGCTTGTAAGAGAGGTGGAAAAGGGGCATTTTAACTTAGAACAAGGGATCCAACCAGCACTGGAAACTAAGTTTTACTTGGCAATCATCAAACCAGCTTTCTTTCATCCTTCCCTCCCTTTGCCCCTAAATATGTTTACCCAGATTTCTGGCAGCATGAAAATCAAAGTTATTGCTATTCTCCATTTTAATCAGCAACTTACATGCCAGCACCCTTTCTCTCTCCAAGAGACCTTTTCTCTGGCTTTCTCCTACTCTAGACTCATTCACCTCTCTACCAAAGCTTCAGAGATATAAAAAGGAGACCATTCTTTTGAAAATGGCAGAGTTTTCCTAACTTGATATTCTAGAGACTGGAAATATGGGACTAGTCAGCGGCCACGTCGAAGGACTTTCAGCTGGGCACTGGTTCCATCTTTGTATCTCTGCCTGGGCAATGAGCTTAGCATCAGAGCGCCCCAGGCATGCCACATCCCTTAATCCAATAACCCCTCGCCCTACAGCTAATGCTTTAAAATGAGGTATCTGATTCTCAGAGACACAAAGTAAATTGTACAAGGACACAATAATGAGAGCAGGGAAGGGAAACAACCTGACATTTACTAAGGGGTACTAAATGCTAGGCATTTAATGAAACACAGCTTAAGAGGGGATGTTTTTAACTACATAATAGATGTTCTCTTGTAAGACATGTTAAAAACCAAATACCTGTCTATGCATTGAAGAACTTGCTTCTTAAAGGAACTGTACTCTGCTGCTTATGGCAGACAAATCATCATACAGGTTTTGATGATCTGGTTTGTGGGTTAGAAGCAGATTGGTCTTCTCCACGAGGATGACCACACGCACTTCACATTCACCAAGTTCACCAAGTTCACATCACCGTTGCCCAAAAATCTGCTCCTCGTCCTGCTCCTCTCTTGGCAAATGATACTGCCATTTACCCATCCGTAGCCTGGGCTACTGCAGCCATCTCTTACCTGCCCTTGTCTGCCGAGCTCAAATTCCTTCTCTACACGATTGTCTACAGTCATCTTTGCAAAACACAGTTCTGACCCTGGCCGTACCTTCTTAAGACAGCTCAATGGCTCCCCACATGCCTTAGTGTGTGTAACTTGCGCCACTCAGTCCTAGCCTGAACATCCATTCTACCTCTCTCCTCTTACCCCCGCATGCTGCTCTGCTCCTGGAGTTTGCTGAACACACTGCACTCCTCACACCTCTGAGCCCTGGCCCACGCTGCTACCTCTGGCTTTCACCCACCTTCTCATGCCTGGCACCTTCCCCTGGCTGACTCCCATAAGTTTCCATAACCAGCTCATATGTCAATGCCTCTAGGTATTCTCCACCAACAGAAAGAGTGGGCAGTGGTTCTCAAGTGGACTTTTAAATTTTCTAGTGGCCACATTGTAAAAAGGAGAAACTGATGAAATTAATTTTAATAGTATATTTATTTAACCAATATATCCTAAATATTATCATTACAGTATGTAGTCAATATGTTACAATTATGAATAAGATGCTTTTTGCCTACTAGTCTTCAAAATCCAGTGCTTATTTTACTCATACGATGCGTCTCCATTTGGACTAGCTGAGTTTCAAACGCACATGTGGAGAGTAGCTGCCACATTGGACATGACAGCATGAGAGCACCTGAGAATCACCTAAACATCTTCACAAAAACATCGAACCTTTGCTATGCTTCCCAAGTCTCTAATGCTGGGGAGGGTCTAATTCTGGAGGTCTGGCATGGGGCCTGAAAGTCTCATTTTCAACAAGAACCCTGCAGTGCTTCTGATGCACATGTTCATGAGACCACGCTTTAGGAAACAAGGGCTTAATGGCTAGATGCACCAATTTGGGAGGTACACCCATGGGGTGCGTATTCAGACTCCACCAGTTAGAAGCTGTGTAACTTAGTGACTTCTTGCTTGTACTCTTAGGTCTCGGCCTCCTCACCTGCAAAGTGAGACTCATAATAAATACCTACCTACAGACCTGTGGGTAGCGAATGGATACTGTATTTCTAAAGGTCAGCACACTACCTGGTACATACTTAATCATGGCAGTTACCAGCTGTCTGAATACCAGCTTTATGGGAAAGATGGCCTCCCATCCTCCCTCATTGACTCTGCGCTCCCTTCCACCATCGCCCTCACCACACTCTGTGGTCATCATCTGCTTGCTAGTCTGTGTCCTCAACTTGACTGAGGGCAGAAACTGGCTACTGTGCATTTATTTCCACATCCCTTTTTTCTTACACATAGTACATGCTCAGTACACATTATTTTTTCAGAAATTTAATGTGATCAACTGGATTCCCTCTAGTGGAGTAAATTCTTTATACAAAAGTACCTCAGGTTCTCATGTATAAAGAAAGGATGCAAATACACTGTTTAACACTCTTCCCTCTACAGTCTGTCACAGAAAGCTTTGCCAAAGTGATCCATGGCTTGAACGTGGGACACCTGACAGATCGTGTTATTCAGAGGAGCAAGAGGATGATTCTGGATACTCTGGGCGTCGGGTTTCTGGGAACCAGCACAGAAGTGTTTCACAAAGCCAGCCAATATAGTAAGGTAAGAAGCTCAAAGGGTACTACAGAGATAAAACCAAGTGTGCACACATCCCTGCTCGTGCGTGTACCCATGAGTGTACCCGTATGGCTCCACTGCTCTGCTCTTCGTTTTAGAGATAGTAATTGGTGTGTATAGCATTGTTGTATATTGTTTTATGCTTTTTTATGCTCTATTAACTGAGTTTTAATAGGCATCCATATCCTTTACTAAGTCACTAGTAGTGTCTCACAGTTGATCCTATTATGACTGAGAGCACTTTTCACCTGAGTCTTAGAAGCAATAGCACCCTGGATGATTTGGAGAAAAGGCTGGACCAGCACCCTGAGCAGAGGGTGGGTGTGTATGTAGGAGACGCAGCAGCCACTCTGTGCTCGGTAGATGGTTAGTCCACCTTCCCCAGTACTTACACAGACGGAGTGAATGACAGTAAATTCAGACTCCACTCCCCAGAGCACTTATGGATCATGGTCTGGGACCCAGCAACAGCATCTCTCTTCACCTCTATGGAGACAGTTGTATGTTCTTCTACAAGGAAGAGAGAATCCAATGAGTATGGCTTCGATTTAGTACAAAGCGTTCAAATAAGGGCTATTAATGTAACGTGTCCAAAGATAAAGCATGATGCTTGAAACGGTGAGTTGGCATGCTGTGCCCACACTCTGTATCACTGACTGACCTTCTCTTGTTCCAGATCTACAGTTCCAATACAAACAGCACTGTTTGGGGACGGCCAGACTTCAGTCTCCCACCGACATATGCTGCTTTCGTTAACGGTGTGGCGGTAAGGAGGTTTCCATGTCTTTTCAAAAACTGTTCTATAATTATAATAATTTTCTGAGCTAGGAAATATCTCAGAAATTGCCCAATTTCCATATTTTACTGATGACATCATTGAAATTCAGAGAGATGAGATGGCCTGCCTTCTCTCTCTTATGTAGCAATTTCAGTTTTCATGTTTAATAGTGAATTGATGCTTTCCAAACAAATTGTGAAGTAGAGGAAATAAGAGAAGGCTTTAGATAAAAATACCCCTAAGGTATCCCAACTCTAAACTCTGAATATTTATAGCAAAAAATATAAAACCCAATATCCATACACAATTTCTTCTCAATTCCTTTTGTTGTGGCCAGTACCACTTTCTATCCAGTAACCAGCCTTGCATTCATTCATTCAACAAATATTAATTCAGAAAGACACAATGGCTACACATGGTGTCTACATTTTCTGAACCAAAAATCAGCATTTCTTGTCTGACAGATAATTTTTATGCTTTTTTTATGTGTGTCAAGGGCAGTCTACAAGATATAATTCGGACATGAGTGTGTTGGGATTTGAGATATTTTTATGGCTTTGGGGGACAGTAGCTCAGAATATTGAAAGTCAAACCCAATAATACATCCAGGATTAAATGTCCAGTAGCAGTGAGAAATGCGCCAGCCACATCCAATAGACATAAAAATCTATTTTTAAATGAACTTCTGGTAATTACTATTTCATATAAGAAAAAAGCAAATGTCTGGGATAAAGAGGAATAAAACCTTATAATATAAAATAATGATTTTAAAATATAGCTTTGTATATAATCTGGGTCTAAGAGTTCTTGCAACTTCTCCATAAGTTTGAAATTATTTCATAATATAAAGGTACAAAAATATACAGAGGGTGCCAAAAGGAAAACTGTATTAGAATTGTAATACTCAACATACACCAATAACAAAAGATGAATATAAGTCACGTTTGACTTCTGCAATTACAAGGGGTGCTCAAAGTGGTTACCATCAGCATCCAGACACTTCTGATTATGGCGAACTACTGCTTGAGCAACGTTGACCATCTCTTAAAATATGTATATATTTTTTTGGCACCCATGTATGGCCTGATGTGGAACAATTGACATTAGAGTTGTGGTGGGAGTTTGAAGGGTGGGGAAGGAAAATGGGAGGGAGAAAGGAGCAGCCCCCTAATTCCACAGCTTTGTTTATACGGGGGGGGTATTGATCTTTTGGGGGGCTTTGGTAGAGAGCTCTGGCCACCTGGATAAGACCTCAGCTCCTTGGGGCTCACAAGCTGCTCCCCAAGGTCCCGCCTAATCTGGGCAGAGAACAGCATGTCCAGAGCCCAGACACATGATTAAGAATAACAGCCAGTTCATAGGTTTTATTTTCAGGGAATATGGTCTAAAAACCTCTCATCAAGCCAGGTTATTACTAAACTAAACCCTTACTGTTCCAAAAGCCATTGCATTAACGGAAATCTATTTTGGGTTTTGGTTGTTGTTTGTGTCTGTTTACATAGATTCACTCAATGGATTTTGATGACACATGGCACCCAGCCACCCACCCTTCTGGAGCTGTCCTTCCTGTCCTCATGGCATTATCTGAAGCCCTGCCTCCAAGTCCAAAGTTTTCTGGCCTTGACTTACTGCTGGCTTTCAATGTTGGAATTGAAGTGCAAGGCCGATTAATGCATTTCTCCAAGGAAGCCAATGACATACCAAAAAGGTATGGAAAAATTTGCCCCATGGGGAGACCATCATATTCCCCTTCATCTATCAATTGTTATCTCTATAGAGCTTTCTGATATAAAGGTTGCCCAGTTGAAGATGCTAATATTAGTGCTAGCAGATAAGTCCATTCACCAGTCACATATCAAACCGTATATCCATATACAAAGGCGTGACTTCAGAAGTGCTAATGAAAAAATCTCCTTTGGGTTTAAAGAGCCAACCAAGCAACCAGGACCACAAAATAAATTGGGGCCTCTTATCCCGGGGTGACGTAAGTCATTCTGGCATCCGTGGGTACTCTGAATATTCCTGATCCCATCAAAGTGGAATCTAATTTGATATTTGTTAGGGTCCTTCAGACTCATGGGAACATTCAGAATATCCTAAACCTGGCTGTTCAACCTACAGATCAAAAATGGTCAAATACTGGCTATATTATATGGTTCAATCTAATATTTATTTTTGCCACTTGGTACAGCCTGCTAGGAGAGGAGTACATTGGAATACTGAGTGAACTTTCACAGTTTCTACAAGGCCCTCAATTTTTATAGTTACTTAAATCGGCTTTCAGCAATCAACAACTTTTACCTTTCACCAATCATTGTAACAGTAACATTTATATAGAATTTACTATGTTCCAGGCACTGATGTAAGCCTGTGAATTCATTCAAAACTCACAAAACCCTATGAGGTAGATACTATTATTATCGCCACTTTATGTAAGAGAAAACAGGTACAGAGAAGTTGAATGCCTTTGCAAAGATCACACAGCTAATAGTGGAAGAGCTAAGGTTTGAACCCAGGCAGTCTGGCTCCCTTATCTAACCTCCTGACCACTATGCTCTACTGTCTCCTGGTGGCTGAGGTTTGTAAATCTCCAACTCTTTGCTTTCATTGCTTTTCAGGTTCCATCCCCCCTCGGTGGTGGGAACTTTGGGTAGTGCTGCTGCTGCATCCAAGATTTTAGGGCTCAGCGCGACAAAGTGCCAAGAGGCCCTGGCTATCGCGGTTTCTCACGCAGGAGCACCCTTGGCAAATGCCGCCACTCAGACCAAGCCTCTCCACATCGGCAACGCTGCCAGGCACGGGATGGAAGCTGTGTTTCTGGCAATGCTGGGTCTCCAAGGAAACAAGCAGGTCTTGGACATCCAGGCAGGGTTTGGGGCCTTCTATGCCAACTACTCCCCCAAAGTCCTTCCCAGCCTAGACGCCTACACGTGGCTGCTGGACCAGCAGGATGTGGCCTTTAAGCGTTTCCCCGCACATCTGGCCACCCACTGGGTGGCAGATGCAGCTGCATCTGTGAGAAAACACGTTGTAACAGACAGGGCCCTGCTTCCCATCGATCGCATTGAAAGAATTGTACTCAGAATCCCAGATGTCCAGTATGTCAACAGGCCCTTCCCAGGCTCGGAGCACGAAGCCCGTCACTCCTTCCAGTATGTGGCCTGTGCCACGCTGCTCGATGGTGGCGTCATTGTCCCATCATTCCACAAAAGCCAGATCAACAGGCCACAGGTGAGAGAGTTGCTCAGTAAGGTGGAGCTGCAGCATCCTCAGGATAACCTGCCAAGTTTCAACACGCTATACTGTGAGATAAGTGTCACCCTCAAGGATGGTGTCACCTTCACTGAGCGCTCCGATACCTTCTACGGTCACTGGAGGAAGCCACTGAGCCAGAAGGACCTACAGGAGAAGTTCAGAGCCAATGCCTCCAGGATGCTCTCTTGTGACACAGTAGAAAGATTCATAGAGCTAGTAGAAAACCTGGAAGACCTAGAGGACTGTTCTTTGTTAACCGCACTTTTGAAAGGACCCTCTTCACCAGAGATGGTTTCAAAATCCATCTAGCAATGAACAATTTCATCATACAATCTCTCTTGAGGCTTACCAACATCTGAATGGCTATATTTGGGGAAATTCAATGATTTGCTTTACAGAGCAAAGGTCTGCTCTTGGTCTGCCCAGGTATAAATGCAACATGGTGTTGACAGTCCAGACACAGAACTGGATATACATGGAAGGTGTCTTGTTCTGTAACTTTACAAGACTGTTCCAATTAGCTATAACAAGATAATATAAGAGGTCAGACAATTAAGTTCACAGATTCATCCTAGAAAAAGTGCTACATACCTCATTGCTGAATATCACTATGGTCACCTTCAAAGTACTCCCCTTGGGAAGCTATGCACCAATGCCAGTGCTTAGTCCACCCTTCAAAGCAATTTTGGAACTCTTTCTGAAATGGCCATCAGAGCTCTTGTTGTATTACCCCATGATGTCCTGAATGTCATCAAAATATCTTCCTTTCAATATTTCCTTTATCTTCAGATAAAGAAAAAAGTCACTGGGGGCCAGACCAGATGAGCAGGGAGGGTGTTCCAATACAGTTATTTGTTTACTGGCTAAAAACTCCCTCCCAGACAGTGCCGTGTGAGCTGGTGCATTGTCATGATGCAAAAGCCATGAACTGTTGGCAAAAAGTTCTGGTTGTCTAACTTTTTCATGCAGTCTTTTCAGCACTTCCAAATAGTAAACTTGGTTAACTGTTTGTCCAGTTGGTACAAATTCATAATGAATAATAATACCTCTGATATCAGAAAAGGTTTGCAACATAGTTGCAACAAGTTTACAAACTTGTCAGGCCTCAAATATGCAAGAAACACAGAGAAATTGACTTTATAAGTATCCATATGGCTGAAATTCGAGTCATATATAATCTTATAATCTTTTCAGAGGTGTTTTATGAACTGGAGGAACTTCAAGACATAAAAGGAATTTGAACCTGTACATATATTTACTGACAGTGGAGACGGGCTCTGACCTGTAGTGCCACCAACAGATTTCTTAGGCCATGTGTTATTAGAAGCTCCCCACAGTGGAGGAGATGCTATTGGGTTTAAATATAAGGGCTTAGTAGGTTCAAATCTTGCCTCTGCCACTTATTAGACGCGACCCTGCGCATGTTACTGGGTATCCTTCTGCTTCAGCTTCTCTATTTATAATGCAGAAATAAAAAGTCTGAAAAATAAAGCACTTTGACTCCAGAAGCCATGCTCTTAACCACTAAAATATGTCACCTTTCATTACAAAAAATTTTTTTGAGAACTACATCATGGATACAGAGTCTGAGATGTAATAAAGAATGACAGCCAAAAGTATATATACCTATAATTAAATAAGTATTGACTATATAAAATAAAAATGTCTTATCTGGTTAAAAATCGCAATGTTAGAAGTATATATGAGTGTGTGTGTGTGTGTGTGTGTGTGTGTGTGTGTGTATATATGGAGTTATTATAGTTAATGTCTTCTAAATTCCTTATGTTGTTTGAGAAAAGGGCAAAGCTATTAACTCTAGATTTTTATTTGTAAGTATGCATTTTGACATTTCTAGGGTAACCATTACAAAAAAAGAAGGCTTATAGAGGGAGAAATATGGAATTAGGAAAAAAATAATCCATAGGAAGGTAAGAAAGGAGGGGGGAAAGAATATATAGAAAAGGCAGAACAGATATAAAATGACAGAAAAAATTCAAATATATCTATAATTACAAAGAGAGTAAATGGACTAAATGTTTCAGTTAAAGACGACAAAGACTATGAACTCATTTTTTAAAAAGTTTCATAGCTTTCTTATCATCTACTTTACATACCATTAATCTATTTTAAGTATATAGTTCAATGAGTTTTAATAAATTTATAGATTTGTGCAAACATCACCACAATCCAGTTTTGGAATACTTCTATCACTCCAAAAAAATTCATCATGACTGCTTGCAGTCAATCCCCACTCCCACCTCCAGCCCACAGCAAGTAATGATCGGCTTTCTATGTCTACAATTTTGTCTTTTCCAGATATTTGATATAGTAAATGGAATCATACAATACGTCGTCTTATGTATCTGACCCTTTCACTTAGCATAATAGTTTAAAGATTTTCTGCGTATTTATCAGTACTTTATTCCTTTTAATTGCTGGGTAGCGTTCCATTGCAGGGATGTACCACATTTGTTTACCTATTCATTAGTTAATAAACAGTTGGATTGTTTACAATTTGGGGCTATTATAAATACTGGTTCTATGAACATTCACATACATGTCTTTCTATGGGCATGAGGGTTTCCATTTCTCCTGAGTAGTTACCTAGGAGTAGGAATGCTGGGTCACTTGGTAAGTACATGTTTTAGTTTACAAAAAACTGTTTTTCAAAGTAGCTTTATCAAGTCACATTTCTACCAGCAATGTCTGAGGGTTCTGGTTTCTCTTTATCCCCACCAACCCTTGGAATTGTCAATCTTTTTTATTTTAGCCAGTTTAATGAATGTGTAATGGTATCTCATTGTGGTTTTAATTGACTTTTCCATAATGACTAATTCTTTCCTATTTTTGCCAATTATTTTAATTAGGTTGTCTTATTGTTCAGTTGTAAGAGTTCTTTATATAGTTCTTGTAAGTTCTTTATAAGGTAAATGTTTTTCCCAGTCTGTGACTTGTCTTTTCATGTTTCTAATTTCTCTTTTGAAGGGCAAAAGTTTTAAATTTTGACCAAACCCATTTTACCATTAATAAAAATTACTACTGCTTTTGGTGTAATCAGAAGGCATTTTTAAAAGACAAAATCCAGTTATATACTTGTTAACCAATGAAGAAGTTCACACAGTAATAAAGAACAAGAAGCATTTATTTGCAAAAGGACTGCATCCCAGAGGCACATTCAGGTAGCAACCACACTGCGCTCAGGGGAGAACAAAGAAAGGCAGGGTTTATAAAGGCAAAACCCACAAAATGTAATTCTTTCATGCAAATGAAGGATTCTTGGCTAGGTTAACAGCTATCGGTTAGTCCAATATGCAAATGAGGGAGGTGAAAGCTACAAGGAAGAAAGTAAAGTCCACGTGTCCACAGAGCCCTTGTTTCAGGTTGTTTATGGCTCCAGGATGTTTTGAGCTGAGTTTAGCAACAGGTTTGGCAACTTAATAGCAGTTCCAGGAACCCAGGCCCAAGATGTGCAGAGGCTGCATGGGCCCCACTTCCTTAATAGCCTCCTGACTCCATGTTAAGTGACTCTCTTAGCGATGTTTATTCCATTTTATTTTCTCCATTATTACACTTTATTCAAGATATATAAGGATGCAGAAAAGTTGACAATAACAAGATGGAGAAAATATGGATGGAATGTTAACAAAAGAAAGCTGGAATAAATAAATGTTAATATTAGACCAAAAAAAAATTCAAGCAAAAACATTACTAGAAATAATACTGAAAAAAAATTCAAATCACCGAGCAACTAAAATAATTCTAAACTTACATGCATCTAAATAATATTGAACAGCAAGGAGAAATAGATAAGTCCAACACTATACTGAGAAAAATTTAACATTTCTGTTAGTAATTGATAATTTAAGGAAACACAAAATAGACTCTGTAAGATTGAAACACAATTAACATGTTTTATCTAATGGACATATAGAGAATTCTGCACCCAACAACAAGAGAATTCACAATATTTGAAAAAAATCTCACAGAACTTTTACAGTAATGGACCATATGCTGAGCCGTAAAGCAAGTCTCAGCAACTTTTCAAAGGACTGAATCATACACATCATTTTCTCTAATCACAATGCAATTAAATTAAATTAAATCAATCTAAAAAAGATAATTAGAAAAGCCTAAAGTATTTGGAAATAAACATTCCTCTAAATAACTCTTAGGTCACAGAAGAAATTATAATGTAAATTATAAAACATTTAGAATTAACCAATAACAAAAATACCACACATCTAAATTTGTAGGATGTAGCAAAAGCAGTACTTAGAAATGTGTAGAATTTTCTATTGCTGGCTCTGTATTACTTGGATTATCCCATAAGATACACCATGTTAACTCTGATGAATTTATTTGAACACTGCTGATAGGAGATAGAAGAGGCGGTTTCTGTTGTGATCTTGGGATAAAATTTAGTTATTATCCTGTCTTGATACATTTCAGAATTTTCTAGAGGCAAGATATGAGTGAGGGCCATTAATAATATCCTCAGATAATAGACCCCAAATGGAGTCACTTATGCTAAGCCCCATATCACCAAACCAAGACTTCATTATATTGGGTTGTCAGAAAAGTCATGATGTATTTTGTCTGTTTTTCAAAGGTCATTTATTTATATAAAGAACAAAGATCAATTAATGATATATTGCCCGTTATGTTCCATAACCTTTTGCCATCTTTCAATGAGCTTCATAATTCCTTGTTCATAGAAAGACCTGTCTTTATTTGCAAAAAAACTGAACAGGTGCTGATTTATAGCCTCATCTGAATTGAATGTTACACCACGCAAGTTTTGAAGAGAACAAAACAAGTGGAAGTCTGATGGCGCAAGGTCAGGCGAGTATGGTGGGTGTGACAACACATCCCATCCAAGCTCCAATAATTTTGACAGGTGATAAACTTGTATGCGGTCTCGCATTGTCACAATGGAACACAACTCCTTTACAATTAACAAGCTCTGGACGTTTCTGGATGATGGATTCATTCAAACTGTCCAATTGTCGACAGTACACATTCGAATTGATTGTTTGGTTCCTTGGTAGGAGCTTGAAAAAGACACACCTTTAAAATACCACCACACTGAGGGCATAACCTTCCTCTAATGAATGTCTGCTTTCTATGTCGTTTGAGGTGAATCATCACGTCGGGACCAAGACCGTTCGCGCACCACATTGTTGTAAACAATCCACTTCTCATCACCAGTTATCAGTTTCTTTAGAAAAGGATCGTTTTCCTCACATTTAATGAGCATATTGATGTTTATATGCGCCATCAAATGAACATCTTGAGTTCATGCAGAACCCAAATATTGAGATTGCTTACATATCCCAGCTTCTTCAGGTGGTTGTGAACACTTGAATGATGGATGTTCAATGTTTCTGCAATCTCTCGTGTTGTGTAATGTGGGTTTGACTCGATCAATGCCTTTATTTTGTCATCATCAACCTTGGTGGGCCTCACCAGCATGAAATTTCATGAACCATTGTTGGCACTGACATTCTTGTAGAGCATTGTCACCATAAACTTTATGCAACTTTTCACAAGCTTGACACACATTCTTCCTTTTATGGAAATAAAACAGTAAAATATGGCAAAAATGCACAGT